TTGGTCAATAAAGTAAAAAGTCAAAAAGAGAGAGCAGCTCACTAACTGCAAATACACCAAATGCACAGCTCGCTAGCTGCAACCACACAAACACACAGCTCACTAGCTGCAAACACACTAATGGCACTCTGGCCCAGAGCTTTCTTTCTTTCTTACAGTTGTATTGGCGGTTGGCAAACAATTGAAAGGTGCATTACCGCCACCAACTGGTATGGAGTATGGCCCAGAGCTCACCTTTCCCTGGGCTTAAATACTTTTAATTGCTGATGTGGGTCAGCTGTGTAAAAGGGAAAGGTGGAATCTCAGGCAGAAGAGGTGGTGGGACACGCCCACACAGGCACCTTCAGGAGGAGGCCCTGCTAGGGCCGTAACAAATCCCTAAGAAAATTATGCAGTTACAGTTTCTCCAGGACAAAAACAGTAACAGACTGAAGTAAAATAAATAATACAATATATTACAAAGTTTACAAAATATAAGAAATAGCTTTAATATATACAAATAGCTCAAATATAAATATCCAGAACATTAGATAATATTAGTAGAAAACTGGGATACCAGTTTCATGATAGCGGTGCCTACCTACCTTATCTATGCAGCACAAGCTTCCATTGTTTAGCCAGTTTAAAAGAGACAACTTTGTGACATAGCAAAGTCTAACCAAAGATGTGGCCATGAAACAGAAATGGAACAATTATGATGAATTTAAATGTTGGAAGTGTAAGCCATTACCTATACATAAACACCTGTGTCATTAATGCAGGTCAGTGTGAGTCAGGGGTGAAAGATAAGTGTATCGCAAAGCCAAACATTAGACCATCTTGTCAGTGATGAGAGACATGCCAAGTACAAACAGACTCAGCTTAGATGAGAATGTTTTCTGCTGCTAAGCCATCTGAAAGAAATACTATATAAGGGCTCTATGGTATTTTCTGAGGGGAGAAGGAAGCCTTCTGTCACCCGGAAATTTCAGGACACACAAACACACACTAATCCCCTATAGTCAGCCACCCATTGCATTCCATAGAGCTCTTTTGTCTCCTATTAGGGGCTAAGTGTTGCAGCTCTGCCTGTCTGTAGTTCAAGAAGGCGACAGGCGCTTAGTGGGATGGTGAGATGCACTAATGAACGGCACTGCCCTAGCAAGATTTGTCTCCTTCCTTACAATAAGGCTTATAGTAGCAAAAAATGGTCAGATGGTGCGTTCCATGTGAAAGCAGAAGTCAGAATTTCCTGAATTTTTCAGTGTCCCCTCAAGTCAGATTTCCAACTCTGAACATCGCATCAACCAACAGCCTTAATCAGCCCAACTTAACCATCCAAGATGGAACCACTGTATATAAACATTAGTAAAACTGTAAAACCTGTAATCTGTGCTGCTACATGCTGTTTATTTATGACTCGCTACATAAGCCATATGCATAGCACTGGGCAGGTTCCGTCTGCGAATGTGCTGCGGTGCTTTTAAGTACAAACACAAACATTGCGCTGTGTTGTTGCTGATGCATTAATAGCTCTGCCTTGCTAAGATAGAACAAAACATTTTTTTGTGGTTTCGCATTGTTTTGCAACGCCTTCCCTGAAGAAATCTGGATGGAAGCATATGCTCTCCTAAAAACTGAACAGGGGATGGTCCATTTCCTCTGTAGTCTGGAGGATGCATCATCCAAAAAGAATTTAAAATATTTATTTGCCCAACCACAGAACATGTTTTATACTTTCCCTCGGTCCCTGGTTTAATGAGCTTTGGCCCGGAGAAGGTAGACAGCAGCGTTTCTAGATCATATTCACATATGGCTTCTTTGTAACCTGCAGAGTTGAGGGCACTGTGAACTGCATTCACTAACAATGATTTTTCAAAATGTTACTGGACCTCTACAGTGACTAGAATCATGCCTGGTTTACTGCAAAGACACTTACAGATGTCATGTCTTCTGATGTTTCAGGAAAATTAGTGTGTTCAAGCTGTTTGTGACAGTCATGATTCTGCCCATTAAAAACCCAATGCAAACGATTTGACCTCTGTTACCCCTGTACCCCCCTTCCTGTGTATCTCTCTCTGTTCCTCAGTGTTACATGTTCCACATGTATGTGGGAGTGCGAGCAGGTGGAGGAATTGGTGACCAGATCGAGGATCCAGCTGGTGATGAGTACGAAATCTATCGGATCATCTTTGACATCACTTTCTTCTTCTTCGTCATTGTAATCCTCCTGGCTATCATCCAGGGTGAGGCATCCTACACATACATGCACACAAACAGTTTATGGACTCCAAACACAAGCAGTTAATTAGGCAACTATTAGCCAAAATGAATCCATTCTAACATTGTAAAGTAGAGTAAAGACCACAGGAAGTGTTTGTTTTTATTCTATAATACAGAGTGCTGATTCAAATGTATAATTATTTTGAGAGCAATCATTTCTGGTTCTGTTTGGTTTCCAATATTTTGGTTGTTCTGTTTATTTCAAATTGACTAGACTAAATAATCGCGACGTCTCTCCAAAGTGGAGTACACTTGAACACCACTTTAAACAATTTCCTGCTTGTAAATTCAGATAAAACTGAGCTTATTGTACTTGGCCTTAAAAACTTCAATGAAACATAGTGCCTAACCAGATACTAACTCTGGGGAAAGGATATGTGCATATTAAACAAAATATAGGACTGCTTTCTTTGCACAACATCTCTAAAATTAGAAATATTCTGTCACAGAGTGACGCTGAAAACCTATTTCGTGCATTTATTACTTCTAGGCTGGACGAATGTAATTCAGTATTGTCAGGAAGTCCTAAAAACTCCCTGAAAAGCCTTCAGTTAATCCACAATGCTGCAGCAAGAGCACTGACAGGGACTAGATATATTGTATTTCTCCCATACTAACCTCTCTTCATTGGCTCCCTGTTAAGTTCAGAACTGAATTTAAAATCCTCCTCTTCCCATAAAAAAACTTAATCATTACTTATTATTAAACTCTGCCTATCTTCCACAGTGTGCCTTTTATCTACAATAATACAAAAAAACAACCCCAACAATCATATGACCCTCCTACGAGGAACCACTCTGGGAAGGAAAAACTCCCTTTTAACAGAAGGACACCTCCAGCAGAACCAGGCTCAGGGAGGGCGGCCATCTGCCACGATTGGGCTGGGGGAAGGAAGACAGGACAAAGACGTGCTTTGAAAGAGAGCCAGAGATTAAAAATGACTAATAATTAAATGCAGAGCGGTGTATAAACACAAAGTGAGAGAAAAAGGTGACAAAAGAAGAAACAGTGCAACACGGTAACTAAGGGAGGATTCAGGGTCACCTGGTCCAGCCCTAACTATATGCTTTATCAAACAGGAAAGTTTGAAGCCTAATCTTAAAAGTAGAGATAGTGTCTGTCTCCTGAATCCAAACTGGAATCTGGTTCCCCAAAAGAGGGTGTACTGTACTGTAAACTTTCAATCAGAACACCTAAGATGGGTTTAGATGGGTCTTCTTGCATGAAGGTGAATTAAAATATACCACCAAGGCAACAAAGTAGTGGCAGAAGAAGAAGCAGCACATTAGTTGTGCTGCCTACCATGGAGTGGCCTAGCCAGTCTGCAGAGCTCAGTCCAATAGAAAATCTGTGGAGGCTTTGAATTGCCAAGAAGGAGCCAAGTAATCTGAAGAATTTCTGTAAAGAGGGGTGGGCCAAAATCACTCGTAAGATGTGCAAACCTGTTGATCACCTAAAAGAAATGCCTTACCACTGTGTGTGCCAACAAGGGTTTCTTCACTAAGTGCAAAGTCATATTTTGGTTGGGGATTACCCATATAGAAAAGATATATATAAATCTCATAAAGTTTGTATCTGTCTTGTGTGAAACTTGTATGAAAAGCATACAAGAGTGAAAACAGATATAAAATCCCTTGAAAAATTATATAATGAAACTTGTATGTTTTACTTACTAAAACAATATATGAAAGTAATGAGAAAGTGGCCACTTTCATGAGTAAATCATATAAGTTTTTACTATTTCTTTTCCATATGGGTAAACATGTGTTTCACTCAGTGATATGCAAATCAATTCATAACTTCAATGACATTTTGGATTTTAGGTTGATATTCTTACTCTCTCCATTAAAATGTAACTTCCATAAAAATTAGAGACTGTTCATTTCTTTTCCAGTGAGAAACTTTAGTGGCAGTAGAAACTGAGTAGGGACCAAATAATGATTTCCCTCTGCCACACATATTGACAATGATGATAACTAAGCTTGTCAAAAACAAAGGTTTGGGGTCTAATCTTAAAAGTAGGGTGTCTGTCTCAGGAACCCAGACTGGAAGCTGGTTTCATTGGAGAAGAGTTGGTTAGAACCGAGGGCTCTACCTCCCATTCTACTTTTGGAAACAAACCAAGTGTTGGCTTACATTCTGACACTACAGTGCTCAGTTGGATTAATATGATATTATGAGGCTTTTAAAATATGATGGGTCCTGGACCATTCAGAAGTTTGCAGATGTCTAGGCTTTGTCTTTAGTATTTATATCCTTCCCTATAGGCACATACACACTTTGGACGTAATATAGAGAATGTAACTGAATAGCAAAAAAGACTCCTTTAGAAGTATTATAGTAGATAAAGCAGATAGCCTGTGGTTTTCATATCTATCGTTGTATTCAGTGTAATAATGTGGACCAGCATGTTTAAGCTCCACCCTCTCTTCTAGGGTTAATCATTGATGCTTTTGGAGAGCTGAGGGATCAGCAGGAACAAGTGAAAGAAGACATGGAGGTGAAAACACACACAACAGCTCAATGCAGTTTTTTTTTAATTCAGGCATATGAACATGTAAAAATATAGATTTTGTGGTTGTTTTGTTTTGTATAGCTGTACCTCCAACAGAGGCATAGATGAAGATTGCCAATAGGTTACAATAAATGACAACCACTTAACTATCACGCGTTTCTCTTGCAGACCAAATGTTTTATCTGTGGAATAGGTAATGACTACTTTGACACCGTGCCACACGGCTTTGAAACGCACACTCTACAGGAGCACAACTTAGCCAACTACCTGTAAGTACGTCTGGAGAGTGTCTGTATTTCTGTGTGTGTTATTGTACCTTTTAACACCTACATCATCATAGATCATCACACCTACATAGTACACAGTCTTTCAGGTCAGTTAATGAAAGATAGGTACCCAATCTTGGTGTACTTGGGGCTTGGTCCCCAATCTCAGGTGGGCGATGATATCTATGATATTTGTGTTGGCTTGTTTTGTACATTTGTGTTACACTGAGGTGTGTTTCCACATTATTATCCCCAGTGTTTGGACACTTATTATCCAGTTACATAAATTTCAGTGTGGTATTTACTCAACTGTAACCACAGTTGCTACCATGATACTACTTGGATATTAAGTGCTTGTTACTTTGGTAATTGAGTAGTAATAACTTACGTTCTTGTCTTTGCCTTGTTACCCTTCCCACTTTATGAGCCGTAATAGAAAATACAACCAAAATTTCAAATGTCTGTTGACTTTAACCCTAAATACAGTACTGTGTCTTGAGCCAGCCCTCATTTCTTGGTATATTGCTTTATGTATAAGTTTCTTAAAATTGTTGTAGAGTCTAAGCTGTCATTAGGAGAGAGGTGGGGCAAACCCTGGACAGGTTGTTAGTCTCTCAGAAGACAACAATTCACATGTACATTCACACCTATGGCCAGAATCACCAATTAATCTAACAAACATGTCCTTCGAATGTGGCAGGAAGCCTGAGAGAACCCACACAGGCAAGTTAAGAATACACAACTGCCTTCAACCAGCAAGTGCCACTGTAACATCTGGCTGTGTGACTGCTATATGCAATGATAATACTGTTTGTGTTTTCTAACAACTGTGTGTGTGTGTGTGTGTGTTTGTGTGCTTCAGATTCTTTCTGATGTATCTCATCAACAAAGACGAAACAGAGCACACAGGCCAGGTAAAACACCTTTCCAATCTCTCTGCCAGTAAATATACAAGACTGTCCTCCTATTATGTGGTCAGTACAGTTTAGCTTCAAACTCTCTCTAAGTGTTTCTAACAGTCTTTTAATGGCTGCTAACATTGTTAAAGCCTCAGTATGGAACATGGAAAATCACCTCTGGTCATATTTGTATGTTCGATCAAATACAAAGGATAACATTTCCTGTAATGTTTTTTTTGTGTGTGTGTGTCCCGTTTGGATCTTTAGCCATCAGAATTGTTGTCTTAAGTCCTAGAAAGATGCCAAGCAGATTTATTTTACCAAGTGGATCATCATGGCCTTGCCATATTGGTCCATTTGATTGACCTTTATTATAATTATGAATTTATTTTATTTTCGGTTGCTACAAACGGGACAGACATGACTGGGGGATAGGACAGGGAGAAAGAATGAAAGAAAGAGAGGGAGAGAGAGAAAGAAAACCTGTAATGTTTAATTCCTGAACAAGGACCTCAAAACAAACTTGTTATCAGTTTGTATCTTAATTGTGATTAAAGCAGAATACTTTATAGAAGTTTTTCATAAATGTTTTTGTAGTAATGAGTTTTGTTAAAAACTAAAAACTGGCCAGTCTCCCATTCAAGATCATTTTGTTGGATATATACTGATGATAATCCATCATGGGTGCTATTTCTGGATCACGTTCTAGTAGTCCTGTTTTGACCACTTGCTCTGTGAACCCTGAGATTATACTCTGGACATTCACAGCAAACTTTTACTTTCAAAACGGCCCAAAGTCCATATGGCGTATCGTCACTGGGAATGAGTGCTACAACAGGGCAGTTTCAGCAGTTTTCAGTCAAGGAATCCAAGTTTCCAAGCTAAACAACAACGTGTAAGGAGTGGTGGATGTTGAAGGCTTGCCTTTCTCATACGCTGAAGGAGACCCAGGCCCAATCATATAAGCACAACTCCAGTTTGCCTATGTGAGTTTACTATTATTAGTAGATACAAAAGGTGTATTTTTAAGCATTAACAGTTCCTTTCACTTGAACTAAGAGGCCAAGCCCAACACATGAAAAACAGCCCCAAATCATAATCCCCCCATACAGTGCAATCAGGCAAGTAGCATTCTCCTGGCAGGCACCAAACCCAGACTCGTCCATCAAAATGCCAGATGAACATTTATCATTCCAGAGAGCACATCTTCACTGCTCTAGGGTTCAGTGGCAGAGCGCTTTACACCGCTGCGTCCAACATATTGCATTGCACTTGGTGATGTAAGGTTTGGATTCAGCTTCTCGGCCAGCCTTCCCATGAAGCCCTCTACACACTGTTTTTGAGCTAATCTTAATAGTTTCTTTCTTTGTGTCCATAAGCAAGTGCTTAACAAATTTAGGTGCCCTAAATTAAGAGCATTTGTAATTACCAAAGTAATTTCTTATGTTTCTGTAACAGCTGATCCACCAGTATACTCATGGTCTTTAATCCAAATGTTTTTGATTTGGTAAATTATAATTATGGCTGTTTTCTATAAATTTAAAGTAAAGGCATTATTATTTTTTATTAAGATGCCAAATGGGTTACTTATTTGCATTTCAGAAGTAAAAAGTCGTTTTAGTAAATGCTATACTGTGGCGGACCACCAGGTGGCTCCACTCACACCCAAGTTGAAGGGAAGTGAGGGGTGGAGATTTTGGCGCTAACTTTATGTGGTGTTCTAGAGTCAGTTAATAAAGTTGGAGTGACTGAGACACTGAGACCTCTCCTGTCGTTATTACATACCTCCACAGTACTTGATTAATTTCTGACTTCTCAGAGAGATCCAGTACGCTGTTCAAATGTTTGTTTTTATGACATTTGGGCTCATGAATGCCACCACTAAAGGCATTGGATTAGGTTTGTTGTTTCAGATTTCATTCTGTTGTTCCCCCTGCACCTTACTTTGACTAACTTTGCATCTTTACTCACAATGAGGCGCTTTCACACTATTGACAGTTTATGCCTCTCAGTCTGATTTACCTATAACGCCCGTTGTGAATGCATAAAATGCAGGGCTTTACGATTGGCTGGTCACCGATTAGGGTGGAGAACATTGGAAATCAACCAGTTCCAGTCCATGGCTGGTCAGTGGGTGCATCTGTAGTGATCGTCTACTCTCCCTTTTGCTGGATTCCTTCTTTTGGTCACTCTGGTTTTCTTTTAAATTGTTTTAAGTTTTTCCGCTACTTCAAGTGCAGTTTTTAAAGTATAACTGGAAGCTTAAAAAATATTCTTAGCTAGCTTCTAGCATTCGCTTCTGCCGTATGAGCTATGGGTCCACTCAGGAGCTTTTAAACCCCAGTATATCAAATGAACAAATAATGTGTGATTCAGACAAATACGGCTTGTAGCAAGCAATGAGAATTTATACAAATTTAGCAAATTCAATACCACTATTGATGTCACTTATCAATTCTCTTATTGATTCTCATTGGGTTCTGATTGGCTCTGCTTGGAGCGTCTAAGCAGCATATCAAAGACATTACATCGGTGCATATTGATTGCATGTTTTGTGGTCAAATGTTTGTGCATGTTTAAAGCATTTCCCTGTTTTGTGGTGATCATATCTGGGGTCATTATTCGAAATAAGTAACATATTACAAATATTACCCAGAACACTTTTCTTAAAAGTAATATAGTATGTTATTTAATTACTCACCATAGAAATTCTTTTTTTACACTACTTGTTACATTACTTTTCTGTTTCTCCGTATAATGACCTGAAACACATTGTCTTATAATCACCATTTAACAATATAAACCTGAGGCTACAGTCCCACACACCAACACAAATCCATATCCCAATGAGCACACACATATGAGCTTTCTTGTAGTATTTAGGCATGAGCACAAAGCCGACAGCACAATGCAAAGATGAAAACCAGCACAAAGATACTTTAAAGTGATCACCACAGGGATTCTGCTTCAGAAACATGAACACATAGAAACAGACGCTGCATCCTGACTGCACATCACTGCCTTTGTTACCTGTTGAAGATCAGGTCTGACTGCTGGGCTGGGGTCGGCTTTAATGTCACTCTGGGTTCTAGGCTAGCTTTGTTCATTTCAGTAGGTACCTAGAGGTTACAATGCTAGTACTAATTTCCATAATGAACAAAGCTGATGTGATAATTTCACTTTAAATGTAACACACATGAAGCAAACCCTCCTTTCCTCTTCCTCTCTGTCTTTAAGGAGTCTTACGTATGGAAAATGTACCAGGAACGTTGTTGGGAGTTTTTCCCTGCTGGTGACTGTTTCCGGAAACAGTATGAGGATCAACTCAACTGAGTCAACCTTGGAGTGACAGACGCTTAACTCTGAAAGGCCCGCTGCAGCCATTTGGCCTCTGCTTGTCCCTCAAACGTTTATTACTTTTCTGAGGAGGCTGTATTCTACCAAATGATGGGTTCCTCTCTATGCGTCATCTCTCCTCAAGTGGCCACGCTCTTCAACGGGACACACCCTGCCATTGTAGTCCAGACAGCCAGCTCCACCCCCCGACCTTCAGCACACTCTGTTCGGAATGCTTTTGAAACCTTGTACATAGAAAACTTCAGAAAATATGATGTACAATACATGACAGGTGGCAGGTCTAGAATTTTTTCACTCTGATGACTTCTGTGCTTCATCTTATTCTATATTCAAAGTAACTTGCAAAAAATACAAAGGCTTAATGGACTGACGGTAAAACAAGAAACCTAAAGAATGTTTTACTTTTAATATGACCATGTTTATGGCCTTTCATGTTTATAATGCACGATTCATATAGGTACAGGTGGTGGATACAATAATCAAACAAGTTGACGGCTTATTCTGGCAAGAAGAACTCTGCAGCAAATCTACACTTCAATAAGCTTAAAGACGTGCTGACCTGAATACGATGGACAATGAAAATCGAACACAGCACCAACGTGGAGACTTCAGAACAATCACAAAGCTGAATGAAGCCCCTGTGCAATGAACATTTTCACAAACAGAGCTGCTGTGTTGAGTTGGATTACAGTTTGGTCCAAAGTGTTTGAACAATGACACATGTTCTTCTCACTTTACTTACTTATACCACCATCACAGTGGATCTCAAATCAAACAATCTAGATCACTAAATACTTGATTTGCCTTCAGCTACGGCTTGTTTGTGTTCTTCTGCCTTCACTTTTTTGTTCGGTAAAAGAAAAGCATGCTCTTTTGGGTTGAAATCAAGTGAGAGACTTGGCCATTGAGGAATATCACATTTCTTTGGCTTAAGAAAACCTTGAGGATAAACATATTTTCAAAAGCTAGCCATGTAGTAAACACCCTTTATCACTGTCAATTTAGGCAAGAATACACTTTGACAGAAAACATCGAAAAGAGTCCACCCGGTCCTGTATTAAGTTCTGTAAACAGATGAAACCCAGGCTGACTTGTACCACAATGATGGGAAGAGAAAAGTATGGAGAACAAAAGGAACGGCTCATGATCCAAAACACACCATCCATCAGATGTGATACAGTGCACTGGCATGTGGGGCTGCCAGTGGAACTGGGTAGAAACAGCAGAATTAATTGTGAAATGTTCAGGGCTGTACTCTGCTCAAATTCAGCCAAATGCTGCAAAACTGGTTGGAAAGAGCAAACTGATAATGACCTCACCACAAAAGAAACCCAAGAATTTCTCAGTATTCAAGAGATATTCTTCAACAGCCAAGTCAGTCCCCTGATCTTAACCCAGCAGTTTTATTTATATGCATTTTATTTATTAAATCAAAAACATAATGGTGAAAAACTCACAAACGTGCAGTAACTGAAGGCAGTGGAAGTAAAGGCCAATGGTGGACAGTGTTGGTCAAGTCACTTGAAAAAAGTAATCAGTAACTAATTACCGATTTTGCAATAGTAATCCCTTACTTTACTTGTTACCTGAAAAAAGTAATCAGATTACAGTAATGCATTACTTCCCATCTCTGATGGTGGATCTCAAGGGAAGAAACATTTGCCGATGTCTGTTGGGTTCTAGACTTCAGGCAGTTACTGACCGAAATTACTGATGGATTTATGGACCTAAGTATAAAAATTGTTGTGATATCTAAATAAATAAAGCAGTATTTTGTTAAACTACTGGAATTAAAGGTAAACATCTGGACAGTTTGGTCATGTGATGAAAAATCCACTGTGGGGTTGTAAGAGGCAAAATTGAAAAAACAAAAACATTCTGTCATTGGGCACTGGACCGGACTGTAAGTTCACTGTTGATCATGCTGTGTCCACACACTGTACCATGCCAGCACTGTGTGTGAAGGGACCCTTAATTATATGCTCATGGCTTACCACATGTTCATCAAGTTCATTTTGCTCCACTTAAAAAAGTCAAAGCATGGACAATTCATAATCCTCAACCAGCTTTCTGATATACCTAAATAAATACATAGCTTATAAAATGATTGAATCCATTACTGTCTTTGATAATTGATTTAATGCATTTTTTGTTTGTTTTGTTAATGTTTGTCGCCGGTAGTAACAGGACATCAGAGATGTATATTTTTGCAACACTCATGTTCACGGTGATAAATGCGAACAACTGCTGGTCAGTCAATGTCAAACCCCAGTACTGGGCAGGATTAGAAGAGCTTAACAAATGTGTATTGTGTCCAAATCTTCAATATTTTGTTGTTGTGTAAGGAATACGACAGGCTCGAGGCGCCACTAGCAGGGCTTTGTTTTTTTGTTTTGTTTGGTAAAGCTTAGTAACATTTGTTAATGAAAGCTTGTGATTTTCTGAAAAAGCAATATCAAAACAATTCAAAAAAGAAAAACAAATAGAAAATATAATAAACAAACAATAGAGATTTATTTGTTTTAGAAGTTTATGGCTGCAGATATAGCTGCATGCTTGTTAGCTAAGAGGAATAATCAGCCAGAATGGAGCAATCAGATGTGTTTCCTGCAGTACTAGAATAGCACAACAAAGCAGTGAGGAGACAGAAAGGGGGGATGGGAGGTTGCAGTGCCTTATTTAGCTGGGGAGGATCTATGAAAGCTAGACAAGAAGAGTAGCTTCATAATAATACCGTATACAAACCGAGGAGAACATATGAAGCTAAGAGTACCACAGAATAATATTCTATAGAAGTAGAAGAAGAGAAGGACTTTGGATATCACGAATGTTATGGCTCAGGGGTTCTTAGGTTGACCAGAGCAGAAATGCACATATTTCAGTTGTGCAAACTGGGGTGTTACAATTCCAAAAGGTATCATAGTTGACTGTAACTAGCCTCAAACCAGGGTACAGTAGATAAACTTAGGGCTAGGTTACATTTTAACCACATTTCGTTTTGTACAACATTCTTTCAGTAAATCCTTTTTTTCTGTTTTACAGAACTTCTAATCCCATTAGTTACCATCATCGTGAAGGGTTCAGTTTAAACGCTAAACAACCATCACAGCCTATTTAGAGTTAAGATTAGGGGTACGGTTAGCATTAAGTTCATATTTACCAGGTTGTAAATTCAATTGGAATTTTCACCTATTTAATATTTTCAGCTGAAGTCTAATAACAGAAATTCTGAAGGTAAGATGCATGTGTGAGACCTAAGGTAATGTCTTGAGAACAGTAATGTTATGTTTAGCATGTAGCTAAAATGTAACCTAACCTCACTTTTAAGTGGGCTGTAAGTAAGTTGGTGGATGTTAAAAGGTTAATGAAATTTTCCGTATTTAATCTGTCTTTATAAAAACACATTTGGGGAAATATACAAAATATATGTTTAAATTGACACCAGCTTACTCATCAGAATACAACAGATGTCGGTGGCCCTAATAAGACAACAGGTTGAGTGTATGCTGCAGGTTCTGTTCAGCTATATGAGTGATGCAGAATAAATATATTTTTTTTATTGTATAATTTCTGATACTGCTATACAACCAAGTTTAAAGATCAACACTTGTCATGGCTTTGGTTAGAAATCAGCAGCCATGTGTTACAGTCTATTTTCAGTTTCTTAGGAATTGTAATAGTTACATCTCACTTAACTAGCAACAATTAACATTCCATGGAACACATTTCACAACTTTCTTGTCAAATAAGGAATAGTTCATGATATGCATTTTTGTGATGTTCTTATATGATAATTACTTTTATTGTAAACACACCTCCCTCTCAAAAAAAGTCTAAAAAAATATTTGCATGCTAATGGGGAATATTGAGTAGGTATAATAAATACACTAAATCTCTGCTGCCCATAATGTATCCATTCAGATTATTTTAGTTATTTAAGATAAATCATTTAGGTGTTGTGGGATGAGTTGTAACTTATTAAGACATTTTACCACAATTGTATTTGAAAAAATAAGACAGTAGGCCCTGCTTTTCTGTCATTTAACCATCTCTGTTTGTAAAGGTTTGCTTAAGTTGGTTCTGAGGTCAAGCAAAAGACCTTAAGGGAATTTAAGAGACGAATCACTTTTACCGTTGTATATCTCAAAGAAAGAGGTAGAACAAATTAAAGCTTACTTAACTTTGTCTCAGAAGTAATTTAAGTTTTATATTTATTCAGTTATCTTTTATTTTCAGATAATAAAGAAGTAAATTGAGGTTTTGTTATATTTGTTTCACTCGATCTTAAAGGTGCAACAAGTAGCGTAATATTTCACTGGCTCTAACCTATAGATTTTGTTATCTGTCACCCTTTTATCTCTAAAACCCAAAACTGTCAGTAGTAGAGTGTGAGAAAGTTGAAAGGAATATCAGTTCAACTTGTATAAACTGTTTAACAAATTTAAGCTGCTGTTTGATGCAAAGTGTTTGATAATAAATCAGGCAGCTTAAAGTATGATGCAGTTTGTCAGAGAAGACAATGTCAGGAAGCCTATAAATGAAACTCACTCTAGACTGTGCTGATGGAGACGCATTGGTAGGAACATGTTTGTTGTTAATGCTGTTGTGTTTAGGCTGGCACTAGAGGCCACTAAAGAGCCATGTTTACTGGTTTCACCTTTAAGTGAGTGCTGGTGCATGTGTAACTGATAACTGATGACTTTAACACTGATAACACAGTGGATGTCACAACTGCAATCAACCAGTGTAAGTGTCTTGAATTGTGTTCACTATACCATGCTGATGCGATGCCTCATTTTTATTTATCCCAATCCCTTTTCAGACTGAACCACGCCATTAACAAGTGGCATTTTGCTCATGTAAAAATAAATATTTTCCATATGTATCATGAAGGGGGAATGTTTAGTTTGCCACAAAGTCTACTTCATGTAGTAATTATGAGTAGGCTATTGCTACTTCTGAGAGACAAATGTGTAAAGAGGAAATTGATCTATAAGCAATGATAGATTTGCATGATTTTGAAAATAAAATTTTATTTATTAACTTGTTAATTGTAGAATGCTCTTAATTCAGCTGAATTTGTTACATTTATTTCTAAATGTAACCACAGAAATGTTTATTTCTGTGGTTACTTGTTACATAATATATACAGGCTGTAGACACTTACATCCATCCATTTCCTTATCCAAAGATGAGTTTTAGTGGCAGCCTAAGCTGATCTTCTGGCCTCCTCCTGGGAGTGTCCTGAAAAGAAACCCCTAGGAGAGGCACAGGGATGACCTCCTGGTCAGATGCCTGAACCACTTCAGCCAGCTTCCTTCAATGTGAACTAGCAGCAACTCTTTTTTTTTTTTTTTGTCCCGTTTGGATCTTTAGCCATCAGAATTGTTGTCTTAAGGCCAAGAAAGATGCCAAGTGGAGTTACTTTACCAAGTGGATCATTATGGCCTTGCCATATTGGTCCATTTGATTGACCTTTATTATAATTATGTATTTATTTTATTTTCGGTTGCTACAAACGGGACAGACATGACTGGGAGATAGGACAGGGAGAACGAATGAAAGAAAGAGAGGGAGAGAAAGAAAAACAGAGGGGAGAAGAGACGGTGAGAAAGGGGGGAAGAAAGAAAAACAAACAAAACACCTGGATCACCTGTATGGAGGAAAAAAAACAGAAGAGAAAGCAAACAAAAAAAAAGAGCAACATAATAAATACAGCACCATCACAATAAACTAGCTAGCAGTAGATAACAGTAGATACTAAATATTAAACG